TATATATATATATATATATATATATATATACACATTTCTTTAAAATAAAATTGTAAAATGTAAGTTGCCATTTTATTAAAATAATATATATTAAATAAAATGTATGAATGATATTAAAATGGTAGCATTTTATGTAATTTTTAGTGACATTTAAGTTACCGTTTTATTTTTTAAAAGTTATATATTGCTACACGTATTTTGTGTATATGACAACAGAAACAGTGACAAAACAACCCAGGTGACTAAAGCTGAATAGAAATTAATATTTTAATAAAATTGTAACTATAAATATCATACAGAAAGAAAAATGTTTAATAAAATTGTGAAAATTGTGGATTTTTTTTTTAATATATAAATATTTTGTATTTAGTTTTATTTTTTTCAAATTATAAATACAAAAATGCATATATTAAAATATGTAAATGGTTAAAATGATGGTAACTGGCTATTGAAATGTCAAAGTTATTTTGGGCACTGCTTGTGGACTTTCCCTTGAGTCAGGGTTTGTTTTCTGATGAATATTTCCTAATTCATTGCGCACACTGCAGCTAAAGCAGAACTGCGTCTTCTGAGCGATCACATGGCTTTGGTGGGCTCTGCATCACATTCCCATTAACCTGATTCCCAGCTTTGGTTTCTTCTGTCTGGCAGGTTTATCCCGGTTCCACCGGAGAGGACTATAACCAGGATGGCACCGGATACCCCGGATCCAAAGCTGCAAACCTTTATCCAGGCTCTTTCTGGCCGGGTATGTGGGTAGTTTCTGTCTGAGTGATGTCAAGAATATTAGTAATGTTGTAAACATCACACTGATCTTAATGCGCTATTTATCACTTCATTTGCAATCACTTAAAATAACTAATGACCTTTTGTGTTCTTTTTTTTCTGCCTTTTTAACTGTATTGCTACATGTATTTTGTAGACACATTTCATATACAGTGGGTACGGAAAGTATTCAGACCCCCTTAAATTTTTCACTCTTTGTGATATTGCAGCCATTTGCTAAAATCATTTCAGTTATTTTTTTTCCTCATTAATGTACACACAGCACCCCATATTGACAGAAAAACACAGAATTGTTGACATTTTTGCAGATTTATTAAAAAAGAAAAACTGAAATATCACATGGTCCTAAGTATTCAGACCCTTTGCTCAGTATTTAGTAGAAGCACCCTTTTGATCTAATACAGCCATGAGTCTTTTTGGGAAAGATGCAACAAGTTTTTCACACCTGGATTTGGGGATCCTCTGCCATTCCTCCTTGCAGATCCTCTCCAGTTCTGTCAGGTTGGATGGTAAACGTTGGTGGACAGCCATTTTTAGGTCTCTCCAGAGATGCTCAATTGGGTTTAAGTCAGGGCTCTGGCTGGGCCATTCAAGAACAATCA